CATTACCATTCTTTCCACAGAAGCTGCGGTTGAAGCCGCTATGGCAGATCTCTCTGGCGCCGGTCTCGGTGGTGCCGTGGTACAGAATGCGCTCAGCTGGCTTATTAGGGTCGGTCATCACCATCCGCACCTTCTTCAGCTGGTACTGATTGTACAGCAGAGGATTGTTGACCCTCTGGACCTGTGTGGCAGACAACATGAGTGACAATATCATTGTGGGGTGTCAATGGGACATAGAGAGTCATAGCAGAGATGTGGGCGTGTCCTCTCACCTGGAGGACCTCGATGGACAGTTTCAGGTCCTGAAGGGTTCTCAGGAAGGGTTGGATGACACTTTGGTATTCCTCGGATGTTTCCGGCACGTCAATCATTTCTACGTCTATGTCCACATCCATCACCTCAGCCTTGGCCTGGTTTCTGGCCTGGAGGGCATTGATGATCTGGCTCATCTCTTGCCGGCACTGGTTGGGGCCGTGTAGGAAGCCGTGGATTTGTAGTTCTCTTCCAGACTTTGTCATTTTCACCTTGTGCTTCTTCTCCAGAGCGGCCAGGATCTGCGCCATGTTCTGCCCGATACCCGTTTCCTCCAGGCTCACCACATTCAGTTTGGAGGTTATGGCCTTGCGGAGGGCTCTAGTTGCCACCACTATACTGGTCTCGTCTCCAGCAAGAACTCTGATCTGGGCCACGTTGGAGGTCTGGTCATTGGAGGAGGCGGGATCTTCTCGCAGGGTTCTTATTGGTTGATTGCGGCCCTGTGATTTCATGAGAGACATTTCCAGGGCTCTTTGTAAGGAATCTTCGGTGTCCTCATTTTCGTGTTGTATGAGGGACATCTCTAACACTCTCTGGAGCTCCTCATCCTCGTTGTCCTGTGTGGGGCCCCCCCGAGTGTCCATTGACCTCTGGATAGCCAGGAGGAGCTGGGCCTCCTCGTCCAGTTCTTGGTCTTGGTACTCCTTGCGAGACATTTGGCACACTTGGTCCAGTTCTTCATCCTTCACCGCAGAGGCTGTTGAGTCCTCATCCTTCAAGGGACTGTCTGTGTATAAATCTTCCTCGGTACCCTCTCTGAGGATGTTCTGGCCAATCGTTGTTGAGCTTTCGGTGGGCGGGGCGTCGCTGGGACTCTCTTCACTCTTCAGAAGGGATGCAAACCTCTTGATTCCCTCTGCCGGAGAGAAACCACCAGAAACAAAGCTTAGAGGATCTTCCCACTGACCCCTCCTTCACTATCATGCTGATCCACTGGCTTCAGTACATTGAGAGGCCCGGACCAGGAACACATCTCACTAACTCCATACTAAGGCAGCTTCTGCAGATCTCCGACTACGAGGTCCTCTGATCGCTCTGCGTGTGGAGAACACTGAGCACATATCAGACCCGGGGACCTCCTGGACTTGGATGGAAGGACTCTGCAGGATAGTCACCCCTCCACTGAGCCTCATCTTACGGGGGAGGAGCCTAGTGTGAACTATAGGCAGATCTGTTAATCCATCATTAAATCTTCATTGAAATACACGCAGTGTAAGTCCCTAAATGTACCCTCTTCCAGTCCCTGTACAGCAGAGCTAAGCCTGGGGGAAGGAGAAGCAGCACAAGGAGCCAATCAGATGTGCTGCAGTGCTCATGTGCTAACAAGAAACATAATGATAGTAGGAGAGAGCAGAGTGACAGAGAGATGAGCTCCTTTTACAGGCTGATGGAGGGGTGAGGCATCCCCG